GAATTCATTTATTAAGTCTAATAGTTTTTTGATGGAGTCTTTAGGGTTTTTTATGTACAATATCATGTCATCCGCGAATAAGGACAGTTTTACTTCTTCATTTCCAATTTTGATGCCCTTTATTTCTTCTTCGTGGCTCCATATTTCAGAGTTTTTGAGAAGAAATCAATGAGCAAGGCCAGTTCTTAGAGGATGTGGGACCTAAGACAGGACTTGAGAAATAAGTGGTGATTTAGCTTGGAGATTCAGTCTTAGAAAAACAGTGGTAGCACCTGAGGAAAGGGAGCGGAATTTAGCCCACCCCACAATGTCCATCATCCCTTGTGAAGTCTCCCCAAATATATATACATAAAATGGGCATAAGGTCCAGGGCCTGGTGTGCCAACACAAGCTCCCTAGCTCCTTTCCCAACCAGCCCCACCTAGAGAAAAACTCCAGAGCTGCCACTGTAACAGTCATGATAAAAATAGCTTCCGTTTGTTGAGCATCCACTGTGTGGCAGACCGTATGCTAGAGTCATACCGCACACTTCTTTGAATCCTTACAACAACCCTAAAGCATAGGGATGAACATTTCCATTTTAATCTGAAGGAAGCAAGGCTCAGAGAGGCTGTGTCTTTTCCCAAGTCACACAGCTAGTGCACGTCTGAGCTGGGATTTCCACCCAGATCCGTCAGATGTCAAAACTGGTCCCCTGCCAGCAGACCATGCGGGTCGAGTGCTGTTGCAGAGGACAGGAAGGGCTGGAGGAGAGACAGGAGCCCGGGACCCTGCCATTGGGACTTTAAAAGGAGCAGGTGTCACTGTTTCACCTCCTTTCTTTCTCGCAGGGTGGCTCAGACCCCCTCCTCTGGCCCCAGCGCATCAGCATCGTCTCAGGGCTGCTTCGTGCCGTGGAGCACCTGCACAGCCTGGAGATCATCCACAGCAACATCAAGAGGTGAGAGAGGTGGGCGGGACCCTGCCAAGGGCTCTGGCTGCAGGGATAAGACAGGACCACATCCCAGGGCCCCCTTCCTCTCCCTCTGTGTCTCTTCTCTTTGCCTTTCTCTCCCCACCTCACCTCCTTTGGGTCTCCCTTTCTTTGTTACATCCTCAGAAATCAGTGTTTCTGGCTGCTGTCAGCACAAACTGCCTACCTGTCACCACATTTGTCTTTTGAAGCTGGTGTTTCCCCAACACGAACCCCACACCCATGATGTAGTTTACTTTCCACCCGTCCATCTGGTCTGCACCTGGTCGTTGAAGTCTGGGTCATATCTGCCAATTCCCCTGGGATTTTGAGCTCTGTGCTCAGGGTCTTCTTGGAGACCCCCTCCCCCGCTTGCATACCTGTTGGTGAAAGTAACTCGTGTTAGGGAGCTTCCTGCTGGTTAGTGCACACCCCAGCTATCACGGTCCCAACCATCCAAGAGCAAGAGTTCCGCATTTGGGGACTGGCAACATGGGAAGAGATTCTAGAAGATATCAGAGAATTCGGCAAAATTGAGCTTGAAACCATAGAACCCACACTTCCCCAAAAGTCCTCTCTCCATTTGACAAGGGGCAGCCCCTTTTTTTGTCTCTCCCCATTGATTCTTATTTGGTTGCACAAACAACAGTAATAGCAAGACAGGAAACAGAAGGACTCGGGGTCGTCCTGGCTCACCTCCCTGACTCATCAGTTGGCCCCCATTTTTCTGTTTCTTTTCTCATCCCCTTCCCACACAGAAGTCTTGGCCCTAAGGTAGCCCAGTTACCTGGTTACCATTTCATATTCTCTTCCCCTGCTTCACTTAAATATGGTAAACATTTTTCCACATTGCATGTCATTATTTCCAGTGACTTCTTAGTCTTCCATTGCACGGATTACCCATAATTTACTTACCCACTCCTAATAGTGGACATTAGGATTGGTGTCTACTTTTTAAAAAACTACCAGAGGGTTAGTTCTGTATTGAATATTTGTACACATAGCTGAGTTTTTTGTCCCCCCTCCCTTTTGGAGTACTTTCTGAGAGTTCACTCCCATGGTTTAGATGACTAGGTTCAAGAATATTTTTATTGCTCTTATTTTCTACAGTCTGGACAGGTTCAGTCACGAAGGATGCTGGCCTTAGACTTGAGTCAGCTAGGCCAGAGCTGGGGGTCGGAACAGCCTCAGAGGGACTGAGCCAACACAGCCTATATGGCTTGGCCAGCTGGGGTGATTGGGGTGGACATCTGTGGGGATCAGGATGGCTGCACCTCTTTGACCACACTGAATGCCATTCTCAGGGCAGCAGGATTAATCTTAGCTCCATCTCCATTGGCTTGTCGGAGTGGGCTCCTCTCTCAGGGCTCTCTCAGAAACTCCATGTTGAGGGTTTCAGTCACCCTAACTTACTGCAGCTCACTGCTGAGTTGTTTCCCAAAAGCGTCTCCATGGCAACCTCTTCTTGTCCAGCCCCAAATGAAAAGGTTCTCTCTGTTTTCTTTTCCACAGCTCCAATGTTTTGCTAGATCAAAACTTCACCCCCATGCTGGCTCATCCAAAGTCTCACCTGTGTCCTGACAATAAAAGGTCAAAATATACCAGGATGAAGACCCATCTTTTCCAGGCCTCAGCTGCATATCTGCCAGAAGATTTCATCAAAGTGGGGCAGTTGACAAAGCGAGTGGACATCTTTAGCTGTGGAATAGTAAGAGTTTCCTTCTCTGCTGAGGGGGGCCTATACTCATTTGTCTTTTCCCTGACTCCTGTGTAAGCACAAGCTATGATAGAGGCTCATAGATATGTTACATCAAAGTACAGTAGGGGTTGGCTAACTATGGCCCACAGGCCAAAACTAGCCTATGACCTATAACTAAGAATAGTTTTTATATTCATAAAAGATCTATATACTAATATGCTAATTAGACTGGACGTCTTCTGGACAAAGCCACAGTGGCAGGGGCTGAGGCAGAGGCAGTTAGGGGCGATCAGGCCGGCAGGGGAGAGCAGTTAGGGGTGATCAGGCTGGAAGGCAGAGTGGTTAGGGGCAATCAGGCAGGCAGGCAGAGTGGTTAGGGGCAATTAGGCAGACAGGCAGGTGAGTGGTTAGGAGCTAGCAGTCCTGGATTGCCCACAGGGATCAGGCCTAAACCAGCAGTCGAACATCCCCCGAGGGGTCCCAGATTGGAGAGGGTGCAGGCTGGGCTGAGGGACCCACCCCCCGTGCACGAATTTTGTGCACCGGGCCTCAGTTAAATAATAATTTTTTTAAAAAAAGGAAGAATATGTGACAGAGACTTGGTTTGTGGCCCATAAAACCTAAAATATTTACTCTCACCCAGCTGACGTGGCTTGGTGGTTGAGCGTCAACCTATGAACTAGGAGGTCGCAGTTCAATTACTGGTCAGGGCACATGCCTGGGTTGCAGGCTCGATCCCCAGTGGGATGCTCTCTTATCATTGATGTTTCTATCTCTCTCTCCATCCCTCTCACTTCCTCTCTCTGAAATCAATAAAAATATATTTAAAACTAGAGGCCTGGTGCATGAAATTTGTGCATGGGTAGGTCCCTAGGCCTGGCTGGCGATCAGGACTGATCTGTGTGGCAACTGGCAGGGTAATCGGGGGTGTGGGCCTGCTGGTGGCTGGCGATCAGGACTGATCTGTGTGGCAACTGGCAGGGTAATCGGGGGTGTGGGGGGCCTGCTGGCACCCGCCTTGGCTGGCCTGGGGCCTGCGGGCTGGGGGCAGCTCCTGCATTGAGGTCTGCCCCCTGGTGATCAGTGTGCGTCATAGTGACCAGTTGTTCTGCCAGTCGTTCCGCCGTTCAGTTGATTTGCATATTAGGCTTTTATTATATAGGATATTTACTCTCTAGCCTGTTAAAGAAAAAAATCTGCCAACCCTTGAAGTAAAGCCCCTCATGAGTGTCCAGATTGTAGTAAGCTATAGATATCATCTCCTGACTTCCCGGATTCCCACCCAGCCAGCTGTCTAATTTTCTATCCAGTTGTGTTTGTCCTTGTTTGTTCATTCATCTTTTTTGTCCATCTGTCCATCCATCTTTCCAATCATCATTCATTCAACATTTAACCACTCATCCATCCATCCGCTATGCATCTATTCACTATCCATATACTCATCCTCACCACCATCTGTCTGGCATTACTGTATTACTGTGTGTAGAATTTGTGTAGACTACCAATGTAACTTAAACACAATCCCTCCCCCAGGAGCTCATGGTCTGAAAATAGTCTCCAGTGTATATTTCTACAGAACACCAATTCCTTGAGATCTCTGTAGGTTTGGTGTGTTTAAAGGTTTTGGGGGCAAATAGGTTTGAGAAATCTGGGTTAATCAAAGTCAAGCAGATTTCTTTACCACAAAATTAATCAGAGCCTTTAATATGATAATGAGCTCTTAATCTGATCATTGTGGATTTACCACAGCTGGGCAAACAGTATGCTGTGTTTCCCAAATTATTTTGATAACTGAACCTTATTTTTTCAGTATCTCTCAGCATCCATTTCCCATGGAACCTGGTCTAGGAAATACTGGCTGAGAAAAGTGACAGTCCCTGGTTGACATCTGCCAAGAACAAGCAAACTGCATTTTGGACCTTGCCTTCTCTCTTCCTCTTCAGCCTTCAACTCTATACTTCCTCTCTCTGACCCCAATCCCCTGGCTGTCCACCTCTCCTACTAACTAGTGCCCTCCCCCTGAGCCACCTTCTGCCCTTAGCCCAACAAACACATGTAAGATTTTGCTTCCTTCTGTCTCCTAGCTCATGGGCTCTTCTGGTTTCCTTGCCCCTGTCAGCCTCACTGGGTGGTTCAGTGAAGCTCATCAGGGCTCCCCCAGGCTCCTGCTTCTGTAAGACCTAGGGGGACTGAACCCCAAAACCACCAGGCACTGTAGTGCAGAGGTTAAGAGCATGGATTTGGGTCCCAGCTCAGTTACTTTCAGCTGTGTGACCTAGGGCACATCACCTATAACTCTGGACCTCAGTTTTGCCCTCTGTAAAATGGGGAGTAAATTATATATATGAAGATTAATAAGGTAATATATATACCTGGTTAGCATAGTACTTTGCAAATATCAAGATGATGATGATGATTATAGTGGTTTGTTTTATTATTCCTACCTTTACACCATCATTCCTGATTTCTGTTTACTCTTGACTTTTTAACTCAGCTCTTAGTGTAACAATTGACTTCCTTATTCGTTCATTCATTCATTCACTCATTCATTCAGTGCCCACTGGCTCCCTGCACTCTTTCTCAGCCCTGCCATTGACTAACAGTATGATTTTGAACTTTGGTTTCTCTTATTGGGAACACTGCATTTCTCAGTGTTTTGTATGTGTTTTTTGGTGAGCACTCAGTGACCTCTGTAAAGAGCCTTGCATAGAGCCTGCATGTAGGGGAGACAGAGGAAATGTTTGTGTATTTATTTCCTCTTCTTTTCTGACACTGCTGGTGGGAGTCTTTTCAATGGTCTCCTGTCCACTGGCTGCAGGGATGCCCACTACTGCCCCCTCCTGGCCACTGCCTTTCTGTTACTAACCTAGTGGCCTTTTCTCTGGAGTAGAGGATTTCTTGGCATAAAAGGGAACCTATTATAAGTTGCTTCTAGAGGGGCTGTGGAAGAGAGATTTGACACTCAGTCCCTTATATTCACTACTGCTAGATCCTCATTTACCAGATGAGGACACAGGCTCATTTTAGTCACTTGCCTAAAAATCACCTGCACGTATAAGGAACAAAGTAATTTGAAGCCAGGTCGTCTGACTGTAGAGTCCTTAACCACCATGCTGCTATCTCTGCCAAGAATTCCTGTTCAAAGCAGGCTTCCCATTTACTAAAACACATACCGCTGTTTATCAATTTTTGGTGGCTTACACTGGCTCAGGTCTCTGCTCCTTTTGTGAGTGGATGAATTAATGAACAAATAATGTTAAGAAAGGCATAATGGGTCCGTCCAGTGTAGCTCAGTTGGTTGAGGGTCGTCCCGTGCACCAAGAGGTCAATTGTTCGATTCCTGGTCAGGACATAATCCCCAATAGGGGGCCTTGCAGGAGGCAGCCAATTGATTTTCTCTGTCAGCTTTGATGTTTCTATCTCTCTCCTCTCCCTTCCTCTCTCTCCTCTCCCTTCCTCTTTCTCTAAAATCAGTAAAAACATATGTTTTTAAAAAAAGGCATATGGATGAAACATGCTATAAATATTGCTGAGATTTTCTGCGTAGAATACATATATGCACATGGATTCCTCTTTCTTGAGATTGATGTAGCAATGCCTGCTTACCATTTCTGATTTTTTTAAAAATGAAATTATCTTTAAAATATAGTGTGTGCATATGTATGTGTGTATGTAGATAAATATAGAGATATATGCATGTGTGTATATATATATTGTGTGTATATTATACAGGGTAGGGAAAAGGTAGGTTTACAGTTGTATGTGAAACAGAGTTTATTCTTGTATTATTATTTGTTAATTATTGTATTATTTTCCATACAAAAAAACCATAAACCTACTTTTCCCCCACCCTGTATGTGTATATGCATATAGTTTATGTATACATACATATAAGTGTGCATATATATGTGTGTGTGTATATATATATATATATAATTGATGATAATACACACACATTTGGTTTCCATCCTCCCTACCTTGCTATCAGTTAATTCTATAAGTACTGGGTCTCATGTTCCAGACTTTGGGCATGTGTCTCTGCTGGCAAATGGCAGAGCTGAGCCTGGAGCTCAGACTGTATTATTGAGAAGAAGCTTCTCTCTTGACGTGTACATGAGTGTGTGAACTGTGCTAACTCCATGTTCTCTGCAGGTATTAGCTGAGGTCCTCACTGGCATCCCTGCGATGGATCACGACCGAAGCCCAGTTTACCTGGTAAGGAAACCAGTCACTTCTGGTTTGAGCCTCACAGCCACGAGGGGTCAGGAGGGGACCCATTTTACAGGTGCTAATGAGGTCTCAGACCAGGGTTTGATTTGCATCCGTGCAAAGTAGCTTTAATCTCCCACACCCACCTGCCAGCTAACAATTACTTTTTCATGATATAATAGAATTTAGAATGTTTAAGGAAAACTCATTTCTTCTCTCTACACATCAGGCAATCAAACAGGGTTGTCCTCAAATTGGTAAGTTAGTTTCAGGCTTTTTAAATGGGTTTCTATAATAAATTCAATAACTTCCATATTTGGTAGGTTCAAAGAACTATCATAGGTATAGTGTCATTTCAAAAATATAACAACACAGCTTGACTCTAGCACCTTCCATAAATTATCTTCCTTTTTTTTTTAAAGATATGTTTTTATTGATTTCAGAGAGAGGAAGGGAGAGGGAAATATAGAAACATCAGTGATGAGAGAGAATCATTGATCGCTGATGAGCAACTTCTTGGTTCTGGATCGACGCTCAACTACTGAGCCACGCAGGCCAGGCCCATAAATTACCTTTCTAAGTCATCTCAGAATCCCTATGAGATTGATAGAGGCATTATGTTCACCTGTAGATGAGGAAAGCCAGCTCTGCGGTTTGCCTGAAATCTCAGCTGTACTGAATGTCAGAGCAGGAATTCCGAGTCAGGTCTTCTGGATTGCAGATCCTGGAGTTCTCAACCTTGACACTTTTGACTGTTTAATTCCCATGGAAGTCCAACCATATGAATTCAGTAGTATCATCATCCCCATTTTACGGATGAAAAAAACCAAGGCCAAGGTGAAGAGACTTGTCTCATGCTCCTCAGTGAGATCAGTGATCAAACGGATTTGAACCCATGTCTTTGGCAGAGATCGAAGTTCTGGCAAGCTCTGGCCCTCTGCATCAGTTTGCGAGGGGAACCCCTTTTCTGACTTGATGTTGAGGCCAGTGGAGCAGCTGGCTTTTTGTGACTGGGCCCCAGTAGCATTCCCTGAGCTTTAGGGTGGAGAGCTGAAGGCCTCCCCTATACACAGAAAGTCACAACTTGTCCCTCTACTGAGCTCTCTGAGCTCCGCCCCCTTTGGGCACCGAGCTCCAGATACCACAAAGAGGTCAGTTTAAGCAGCTTGGATGTGGTTTGGGTAGTTTGGGGCAGTTTCTCATCTCCTGACAGTTTTCTCGAGATGGATTTCTCAGCAGTCCTCTGGGGCTCCCTGGGTGAATGTCACAGGAGAAAGAGGCTTTGGAGGCATTTATATGAAATTTGCTAGGTTTTTTCTGTTAATGGTTTCTAAAATGTGAAGGATATCACTGATTAAAAAACCTAGTTTTGCCCTGGCTGGTGTGGCTCAGTTGTTTGGAGTGTCATCCCACACACAGAAAGGTGGTGAGTTTTGTGTGGTTTTTTTTTTTTTAAGTTTTTTAAAATATATTTTATTGATTTTTTACAGAGAGGAAGGGAGAGGGTTAGAGTGTTAGAAACATCAACATCGATCAGCTGCCTCCTGCACACCCCCCACTGGGGATGTGCCTGCAACCAAGGTACATGCCCTTGACCGGAATCGAACCTGGGACCCTTGAGTCGGCAGGCTGATGCTCTATCCACTGAGCCAAACCCGTTAGGGCAAAAAGGTGGTGAGTTTGTTCCTAGTCAGGGCCCATGCCCAGGTTGCGGGTTCTGACTTGATGTTGGTTGACAGGAGGCCACCAATTGATGTTTCTCTCTCTCCCCCCACTCCCATTCCATTCTATGGGTAGGCATGGCTAGTTCCTAAAAGCCCTTTTTATTATGGACAATTTCAAATGTAAAGAAAAGAATATAAAGAATATTTGTGTATCCATCCCATCAGTTATCAAATCATGCTGTTCTTATTTCTTTGCACCGCCCAAAACTTTGTGTGTGTGTACTTTATTTATTTATTTGTAATATATTTTTATTGATTTCAGAGAGGAAGGAAGAGGGAGAGAGAGATAGAAACATCCATGATGAGAGAGAATCACGGATTGGCTGCCTCCTGCAAGTCCCCCACTGGGAATTGAGCCCACAACCCGGGCATGTGCCCTTGACTGGAATCGAACCTGGGACCTTTAAGGTCCCAGGCTGACGCTCTATCCCAGTGATGGCGAACCTTTTGAGCTCGGCATGTCAGCATTTTGAAAAACCCTAACTTAACTCTGGTGCCGTGTCACATATAGAAATTTTTTGATATTTGCAACCATAGTAAAACAAAGATTTATATTTTTGATATTTATTTTATATATTTAAATGCCATTTAACAAAGAAAAATCAACCAAAAAAATGAGTGTGACACGCGGGTCATAGGTTCGCCATCACTGCTCTATCCACTGAGCCAAACCGGCTAGGGCTGTGTGTGTGTACTTTAAAGTAAATTCCAGATATTGTGTTATTGCATCCATATAATAGTTTTCTAAATTTTTAAATATTATTTAATACCCATTCTATATTTAGAATTCCCAAATCATCTCAAAAATTGCTTTCTATTTTATTTTTAAAATTTTTTATTGTTTAAAGTATTACATGTCTCCTTTTCCCCCCATTGACCTCTCCCCGACCGTTCCCACCCCCCTCAAAAATTGCTTTTTAAAAGTTGTTTTGTTTGAAACTGATCCAGGCAAGCTCCATATTTGCCTTTGGTTATGTTTCTTAAGACATTTTTATTCTCTAACTGTACCTCTCCCCCCTTTTCTTTGTGTGTATCATTGCATTTCTGCAGAAAGTGGGTCATTCTTCCTATGGACTCTCTACGTCCAGCTTTTGGTGATTACGTCCTTGCGGTATCCTTGTTTCTCTATTCCTCATGTTTCCTGTACATTGTAGTCAGTTCTGAGACTAGGTCAGATTCGTGGTCAGTGCTACTTCCTGGATGGTGCTGTGTACTTCCCGTAGATGGTCCTACTTTCAGTGCTGAGCTTCATCAGTGGGTTCAGGTGGATGTGCTGATTCCTTCCATTACTAAGTTCCTCCAGCACCCTGCCACCGAGTGTTCTCAGCTTCTCTTGATGACTGTTGCTAGATGAGAGCCATGATTTTGTTGGGGGTAGTCAAATGGTGAGCATCTCCATCTGTCGTTCTTTTCAGGGCATTCACTTTGGACACGGTGGACACCTTCATATCTGTAAACAATACGCTTTTTAAAGGAACAAACATTTAAAAGGCAGAGCTCACATGAGAGAATTATGCAAAAGGGTATTCAAATATGCAGCCCTTGCCAGCGAGAAGTTTTTAGTCTCCAGGCATTCAGCTTCTGATGGGGTCAAGCATTTAAGTATTATTGGATCCTCAGATAACCTATTTTCTGGAGAAGGAAACTGAGGCAGAGTGGGGACTCTTGTTTTATTTTTGATACAAATATCATAACCCATGTCTGATAATCTCTGATATAATCTTTTTTTAAAATTCTTTATTAGTTAAGGTATTACAAATGTGTATAATCTTTTTTTCTAAATTGTAAGTGTATCTATATGAGAAGCTATATAAAGCAATAAAGATGAATTGTTTTATAATTAATGAATAATTTCTCTTAAAAATAATAAATTAGCCCTGGCCAGTGCCAGTGGTTGGAGCATTGGCCTGCACAAACTGAAGGGTCACAGGTTCTATTCCTAGTCAGGGGCATGTGCCTGGGTTTCAGGTTCAATCCTCGGTCGTGTTTGGGAGACAGCAAATCAATGTATCTCTCTCACATCGATATTTCTCTCTCTCTCTTCTCCCCCTCCCTGACAAAAAATAAATAAAATAAAATTACATAAAAATTAAAAGATGGCCGGAACCGGTTTGGCTCAGTGGATAGAGCGTCGGCCTGCGGACTCGAGGGTCCCGGGTTCGATTCCGGTCAAGGGCATGTACCTTGGTTGCGGGCACATCCCCAGTGGGGGGCGTGCAGGAGGCAGCTGATCAATGTTTCTCTCTCATTGATGTTTCTGGCTCTCTATCTGTCTCCCTTCCTCTCTGTAAAAAATCAATAAAATATGAAAAAAAAAATTAAAAGATGAAACTTAGCCAAAAAATAAGTTATGTGTAATTTGTGAAAACATTTCTGAAGCACTGACTATGTGCCAGGCACTGTTCTTGGTGCAGGAGATACAGAGGTGAGTAAGGTAAAGTTTTTACCCTCATAGGTGAAAATCATAAAATGTTTATTTTATATTGTAAGAGACTGTCTCTGTAATTGTTAATAAGATCAAATTATTAATGTAAGTTTTCAGTATGTAGTAAATACTTTATAAATGAAAGATAGCCCTGGCCGTTTTGGCTCAGTGGATAGAGCGTCAGCCTGCAGACTGAAGGCTGGGTTTGATTATTCTGGTCAAGGGCACATGCCTGGGTCGCAGGCTCGATCCCCACTAGGGGCCGTGCAGGAGGCAGCTGATCCATGATCCTCTCTCATGAATGATGTTTCTATTTCTCTCCCTCTCCCTTCCTCTCTGAAATCAATAAAAATATATTTAAAAAATAAACGAAAGATAGCTATTATTACTATTTATTATCACTAAAACTATTGAATGTTTAGTCAAGTATTACACTTTATGTGTTAGATGCATTATGTCGTTTAATCTTTCTGTTAGTCCTATTATCCCCATTTCCCTGATGAATCAACTGAGGCCTACCTAGAAAGGTTAAGCCATTGCATTTGTGGTATTTTTTAGTGTGCTATGGAATGCCCTCTACATGCAGGGCATTTAGCTTGTTTCTGGGATCCTTGAATTTATTTTTAAAATCCTGTTGGTTTTCTGAGAAGTTTTTGCTGTTTGGATCCCACACTCCTGAAGCTCACTCGGGTGTTTCCACTATTTTTCCACAGAAGGATTTACTCCTCCATGAAATTCCAAGTAGCACCAGGAAGACAGGTGTGGAGAAAGTGATGGCTAAGGAGATCTGCCAGAAATACCTGGAGAAGAGAGCAGGGGTTCTGCCGGAAGACTGTGCGGAGGCTTTGGCCACGGCCGTCTGCCTCTGCCTGCGGAGGCGGAATGCCAGCCTGGCAGAGGTGAGCTTGGTTCTCAGCCTTCCCCCAGCCATGAGCTCTGTCCTGGGTCAGCTGGGTCTCACTTCCGAGGCTGCATGGGTTTGCTTTATCAGGGACTAGGGTTGATCCCAGAAACAAGCTAAGATTCAGGGTTGATCCCTTCACTGAGATGTGATCTCATAAACCAGGGCTGTATTTGGTTGGAAGTAGCAGAACATGTTGGAACTTACATCAGCAAAACAGGGCAGTATATGGATAAGGGTGTCTTACGAGCCTGAGGGCCATGTGCTGCGGGCCTGAGGGGCCCAGGGCCACACCCTTGGTTATTAACAGAACTCTGGTGCTCTTGCTGAACCTGCCTTATTCCTCCTCTTGTCTCTGTAGGCCCCCTTTCTCTTTTTCTTTATTTTCTTGGTTAGGGGATATGGCCATATTCACTTATATGTTATAGTTCTGCCCCATGGAGAGACCAAGTCTCCAGGTCCCCATTCCAACATCTCAGTGAGAGAACTTGATTGGCCTAGGTAGTGTCAGGCTGGCCCCATTGGCCAGTCAGGTAAGATGAGGGGCACAGGTTCTGGTATATAAACCTGGCAGTCAGGGGAGGTCAATTCCTGAAAGGAGAAGGGGCCAGGCCCTAGAGAAAGGGAGCATTTTTAGCTTGTGGGCTAGGCAGACACCCCAGAAATTAACCACCCCAGGAGGTAAAACATATTCTTATGGCTAGGATATGTAAAGGTGGTTTCCATGGTAATAGGTATAAATTTGGACACTGTTGCCTGGTCTTTTTAAGGTCAAAATTACTGCTTGAGAGGGCTTAGAGATAATCTAGCTGAGTGATTTTCAAGTGGTGTCTGGCAGAGAGGGGCTCCTTGAAAGTACCTCAGGAGTTGCTGTTGGCAGCAAGAGGACTATGGGGAGCTGTAGGCCCCACTTGTGGCTTCAATCAGACACCACTTTAACTTCTTATAATTATACTAGAGGCCCGGTGCACAAACATTTGTACACTCGGGGGGTCCCTCAGCCCGGCCTGTGCCCTCTTGCAGTCTGGGACCCCTCGGGGGATGTCCACCTGCTGGCTTAGGCCCGCTCCCCAGGGGATTGGGCCTAAGCTGGCAGGAAGATATCCCTCTGGAAGCCTGGGAGCCCTCAGGGGATGTCCACTTGCCAGCAGGGAGCAGGCCTAAGCTGCAGTTGGACATCCTTAGCGCTGCTGAGGAGGTGGGAGAGAATCCCGCCACCACCGCTGTGCTGGCAGCCGTCAGCCTGGCTTGTGGCTGAGCAGAGCTCCCCCTGTGGGAGTGCACTGACCACCAGGGGGCAACTCCTGCATTGAGTGTCTGCCCCCTGGTGGTCAGTGTGTGTCATAGTGACCAGTCATTCCTAGTTGTTCTGCTGTTAGGGTCAATTTGCATATTACCCTTTTATTATATAGGATAGGGTTTGTGATAGCTGCCAAAAGTCTTCATCAAACACAACTGCTATAGCACAAGCCTCCCATTTTATAGATGGGGATGTAGAGGCCCAGAGAGAGGAGATGATGAGGCCACAGAGTAAGTTTCTGTCAGAGCTCTCTGGACTCCTGGTTCAGGCCCATGTCCATCATCATCTTGCTCCATGATGTGGCAGGAACTAGAGACCCGAGTCATTGTTCTAAGCCTGAGCTATTCTATGTTCTAGTGCAGGGGTCCTCAAACTTTTTAAACAGGGGGCCAGTTCACTGTCCCTCAGACCGTTGGAGGGCCGGACTATAATTTAAAAAAAAACTATGAACAAATTCCTATGCACACTGCACATATCTTATTTTGAAGTAAAAAAACAAAACGGGAACAAATACAATATTTGTATTTGCATGTGGCCCGCGGGCCGTAGTTTGAGGACCCCTGCTCTAGTGCAATAGTGTTCAGTCATTCATTCAGCAGTTGTGTGCTGGGCACGGGGGGATATATAAGTGAACAAGGCCAGTTCTACTTTCCTGGAACTCACAGACATTGCTCAGTAATTGACAGTGTGGTGAGCTCTGGGATAGTGTATGACAGGGGCCCCACCAAAGAGGACTTTCCCTAGGAAGTGTAAGCTGATGAAGAGCTGTCCAAGCAGAAGTAACAGCTCATGCAAATATGTAGCGTGAGTTGGGAGAGAGCTTGGCAAGGTCAAGAGAGAAGAAGGTCAGAGAGTCTGGAACACAAAGTACTTGGGGCAAAGTGGCTTGTGATGAGTCTGCTGAGGAAGGAGTGGCCAATAATAGAGGTTGTGCAAGCACAGTCAGGATTTTGAGGAAGTCACTATGGGCTTAAGCAGGGGCAGGGCATAATAAGATTTATGTTCTAAAAATATTTTTCTCTGCTGAAACCGGTTTGGCTCAGTGGATAGAGCGTCGGCCTGCAGACTGAAGGGTCCCAGGTTCGATTCCAGTCAAGGGCATGTACCTGGGTTGCGGGCACATCCCCAGTGGGAGATGTGCAGGAGGCAGCTGGTCGATGTTTCTCTCTCATTGATGTTTCTAACTCTCTATCTCTCTCCCTTCCTCTCTGTAAAAGATCAATAAAATATATTTAAAAATAATAATAATAATAAAAAAAATATTTTTCTCCTCAACCACTTATTCTTTCATTCAGCCTCCCATTAGGTTTATTTTTTGTTCAGTGTATTAGTTAAAGTGCTTGAAGAAACTGCTATAATGAAGAGACTCCAAAATACAGTAGTTTGGAGATAGAAGATTATTCTCTTTAGCTTATGAGTTTGAATGTAGGCAGTCCAGAGCTGACGTGGCAGTGCCACAGGATTGGGGACCCAGGCTCCCATATTGTTGCTCTGCTGTCCTTACTGTGTGGCTTCTGTTTCAGAGACCAAGATGGCTGCTCTAGCTCAGGTCATCACATCTGCCAGCAACTGAAAGGGGTTAAAAGGAAGAGGAGAACACATCCCCTTCCTTTTAAAGGTGTGACCTGGAAATGCACATGTCACTTTCTCCCACACTGCATAGGCTAGAACCTCGTGATATGGCCACACCTAGCTACAGAGGAATGTAGTTTTTAGTGTGGCAGGTATTTATTGGACATATACTCTGAAGATTTATCTCAAGAGGTGACATTTGAACTGGGCCTTGAAGGTTGAGGAGGCATTTGCAATGTAGAATAAAGGGGGCAGAGCACTTTAAGTATTAGGAAGATGAGAGATCAATTGGGTCATGGACTTTAAGACAAGGAGGACTGGGTTCAGTGGTCAGCTCTGCCGGTTACTAGCTGGGTGGCCTTAGGCAGGGAATTTAACCTCTTTGATCTTTTAATTTTTTTTTATCTATAAAAACTCACTGTGCATCATGTGTCAAATGTGGTTTGTAAATTGCAAGGCACCGAGCAAATGAGATTTGTTAGGGTTGTTAAGGGTATGTATGTTTTAGGCCCATTGTGTGTGTTTGTGTGTAAAGAAGAAACATTCCTTCCCTGTCTTTCTCTAATTTTCCTAACTTCCCTAACAGAAGAGCTCTCAAGGACAGTATCTATATTATTTTGGGCATTTCTAGTTGAAAGTGATAGAAACTCTACTCAAACTCTTAGAAACACATGAGGGGGAGAGAGAGAGAGAGAGAGAGAGAGAGAGAAGGAGAAAGGGAGTGAGATGGGGGTGATGTGAACAAGTGAATGAATGAATGCATTTATTAGCTCAGACAGGACAGGCACTGCTAGGGTAACTAGAATCAGGGTCTCAACCAGAAAATGTGCAACTATCTGTGTCAGTGCTCGTGACTCTTTCTCTCCATCTTTTGCCTCTGCTTTACTCTGTGTTAGGGCTTCATTTTCACTTATTATAAATGGATTTTCTGTGCATGGTAGAAAATCTGGCTATGTCACTAGAAAGCTTTAGGTGGGAAAAATCCCAGAGAAGGGTTTTGATTGGCCTGCACTAGTCATGTGCCCAAACCTGAACCAATCATTGAGGTTAGAGGAATGGGATGCTGTGATTGGTTCACTCTGGTCATGTGGTCTTATCTATAGCTAGGGTAGATGGGGGCAACTTCAGCTCTTTTCAAAAGAAGGATGCTGTTCTTCCAGGCCAAAGCAACAAGCATTTGATTCTTCAGTGTCTTTTTCTTCTGAGGCCTGAGAGACCTGTTAAATTTTTTATTTCAGAAAGAATTCTTGGTGAGTGTTCTTGTCTCTCTCCTCTCCAAGGTGTGTGGCTCTGTGGTTGCTGTGGAAGAGCGGCTCAGAGGTCAGGAGACGTCGCTTCCTTGGGGTGGGCTTTCTGAGAGCACAGGCTCTTCCTCCAACATCCCAGAAGAAACGGACGATGTAGACAATTCTAGCCTCGATGCCTCCTCCTCCTTGAGGACAGCATCCCGGTCTGGGGTTTCTGCTTCGCCTGCCCCCACAGAGGACGGAGAAGGCAGGATGCAGGCCAGTGGGGGAATGCAGGCTGACTCCTCCTCTGAGGCCTGTACCAGTCCAGAGTCTCCCCAGGATGGTAAGTGTGTGGGGATCTGAATGTTTATACACATTTATATATCCCTGACTCAGCCCACCATTTATTCCTTCCATCGCCCTTATTCACACATTCATTTGGTTATTCAGCCATTCACCTACCATCTGACTGCAGACTCTCTCCAGCCCCGCTATGTTGTCCATCACCGAGTCCTAGCCACTGATCTAAATATCTCTCGGGTCCATCTGCTTCTTTACTTTGCACCCATCCCCCTAACTCATCTATGCTACTGTCCTCTTGCTAGAATACTGCACGTCTTCCCTTGTCCTCCCTGATCCACTCTGGCCTCTCACCAGTCCTTTTTCCAGGAGCCAACCTGGAAAAAGTGGCTTTTAAAAACAACTCATGTCACTCCTTGTTGAAGCCATTGTGTAGCTCCCCATTGCACTTAGGGACCAAGTCGAAACTCTTCCTCCAGACCAGCAAGGTCCTGTGTGGTTTGTCCCTGTCCACTTCTCCATCCTCGTTTCATAATATTAACCCATCCTCGCCAGCTGCTTCTAAAGATACCTTCTATCCAAATATACGAGGCTTCCTTCTGAAATTAAGTTTGGAAAGCCTCTTCAATGCCTTGTCCCCAAGTAAACACAGCTCAGTGAATGTCTCAGGCTCTGACCATGCCTATTGCTCCTCCTCCCTTGTGGAAGAGAGAGGGTGTAAGTGTTCACTCCACCCCCACCCTCTTCCCCCGTGGGGAGGGGCATGAGTGCCCCTCTTCTCTTCTGCAAAGGCAGAAATGATGAAAATGCTCATTACACTCAGATTCAGAAACCTGATTTAAGTGAGAAACTGTGACCAAGTCTGGCTTTCTAAGAATTAGAATAGTACCTATTTCCAAATGCGTGTTGTTCAAGTGGCTTTTTAAAAAAAACTTTCTATTGAACATCAACTACAGAGACTTCGTGGAAAATCGAGATCAACGAGGCCAAAAGGAAGCTGATGGAGAATATCCTGCTCTACAAAGAGGAGAAACTGGACAGCATCGCGCTTTTTGGCCCCTGATTACCAGAACACAGCTGAGGACTCTTGTCCTCCAGTGGAAAGACAACTGTCTAATCAAGAAAAAGATTTGGGGCAAAATCCAAGGTCTCCCAGGAACTACAAACCAAACATCAGCCTACCTGGGGGGAAGGGAAACTTCCAATTTCCAGAGTAAGTGTAAGGAGAAGGGACCTCAGCTTTTAGAGAAAGCAAAATCCACGAAGTCCTCTTCCGTTCTGGGATTTGTTAGTCAGAGCTGGGTATCATCAGGAGGTGGAAGCGGAAACCCTGGTACATGGGCCCAGGATGTGGGCAGGTTCGTGGTTCAGGGGAGGATGTGACGTTAAGCGCCCCAGCAGATGCCGTTACCCTGTTCTCACCCCTCAACAACTGACAGAGCGTTCTGAATGCTGACGGCACTTTCCTAAGTTAAAATCTCTGGGTCATATTTGCCAACGACCGCCTGCAAACCTCCGTGACCTGAAAGATTTTCACCTTGTGTCCCAATGCAGTTCTTGACGCACGTTTCAAGGTCTCAAGTTTTACAAAGGCCAGACACCTGGCAAAGGACTCTGTAGGCTTTCTGCTTTCTTTTTTCGAAATCTTGCAACCCACATATATTTATTTAATGTTTGTCTACACCTTTATCCTCCCATCCCACTAATGCTAATATTTCTGATGGAGTTTTTATTTTGAGAATATGTGTTATTTATAGCTGGATAAAAAATCAGAAGAACTGGTTTCATTCTGATTCTGCTGCTAATTAAGTCAATCATGTAATTTCTGGAACCTCAGTTTCCTTGTAAGTAACACCTGTTCATTCTCCCACCTTGGGCTGTTGGGAAGAATAGGTGAGACATAGCTATAGAAGTACTTTGAAAATGCACTTGTCCTGTTTTATAAAATAAAGAAATAAAAAGACATTAAACATCTGTTTCTGCCATGTACCTAATGTTTATGCAGTGGGTATATTTCTGAAAAGTCATGTTGCAGATTTTTTGGTGAAACAAATGTTCTTTTATATTCAGTGTGCCCTATTTTAAATAATCCTACTATAGTGATATTTTCCCTTTTATTTTTATAAAATAAATATACATTAATAAAGTCAACCGGTATCTTGTCATTAGTTTTGTGTCCAGATGAATTTGTTTGGAGAAGTCGCTCTGCATCCATGAGCCGGGGTATGGTGGGGTAGCTAAGAAATTGTGTGCTTGCTGTAAATGCTGGCTGTTAATAGCTGTGTCATCTTGGGCTAAGTTAGGGCATTACTTTGAGCCTCTGTTTCATCTATACCATGGGGAGAATAAAAAGTACCTGTTTCATAGGTTTATTGTCAGAGCAAGGGTCAGATTCTGGCTGGTGTAAGCATTCAACAGCCCCCCAGCAATGTCAGCTTTGTACTGATATGTAAAAAGCCAGGTGGGCTCCACCCAGCCCAGGTGGACAGTGATCTGTACTGACACCCCGTCTTAAGCTCCGGTGGCATGTGGAAAGCACCTTATAATTATGAGCCGGGTATTTACAGGGCTCTGAGCAATAGAGGGCAGATGCTAATAGGGTACTGGTTATCCAGACATACTTGCATTTCTAGACTCGGGCTTCATATATTTCTGGAGAGATTCATTGAGAATCTGATTAAAGCTGCAGAATTCCTTTCAGCAAGCTGTAAAGACATACACATACATTATTAATTATGTGTATTAATTATGTGTATTAATTCCAGGGGTTCTTGGGCACCACAGTGCCTTTCCATGAATCCCCAGAGGGTTGAATGGCCCGACGTTTTAAAGATGAATATGAGCGAAAAATCCAACCAGTACGAAAGGTCACCTGATGGAAAGGAAGCCGTTAAACCATTGGAACTTAGGCTCTCATTTCTTCTCCCCAAAGGCAAACACTGTTACTAATTTATTACTAGTTCCAGAGATGATTAGAAAAAAGCTTTCTATCTAATTGGTGGACTTCATTAGTCATTGTGTGTGTTATGTGCTGTTGAGTTGGCTCTGACTCCTGGCAATTCTATGAATGAGTGATGTTCACAATCCTGTGCTCAACAGCCCTGCCAGTTCTTGTAGATTCATGTCTGTGGCTCCTTTTATGGAGTTAATCCATCTCATATTTGGCTTTCTTCTCTTCCTGCTGCCTTCTACTTTTCTCAGCATTATTGTCTTTTCCAAGGAACCCTGGCTTCTCATGGGTAGTCTAGGGTATTTGTAGAGCTTTCCTCCAACATCATATTCAAATTAACTCTTTTGTTTTCTTCCCTATTAGCCTTCTTCTTTGTCCAACTTTTGCATCCATACATGCTAATTGAAAATACGAGGGTGTGGATGACCTTAGCTTTGGTTTCTAATGACACTTCTTAGCTCTGGGTGACCTTTCCTAAGTCTTCCATTCCTGACCTTTTGATCTTGGCTGCAGTCTCCATTTAATTGATGACTGAACTAAGGTAAGCATTAGTCATTAGGGAAATGTAAATAAAAAACACAATGAGATACCACTTCACACCTAGGATGGCCATAATAAAAAAGACAGGCAATAAAGTGTTGATAAGAATGTGGAGAAATACCCATCCAGCGTGGCTCAGTGGTTGAGTGTCTACCTATGAACCAGGAGGTCATGGTTGGGTTCCTGGTCAGGTCACATGCCTGGTTGCGGTAGGGAGTGTGTAGGAGGCAGCCAATCAATGATCTTTCTCTCTCATCAATGTTTCTATCTCTCTCCTGCTCTCTCTGAAATCGATAAAAACGTTTAAAATTTTAAAAAATGATAAAAAAGAAAGAATGTGGAGGAATTAGAACCCTCATGCTTTGGTGGTGAAATTGTAAAATGGTGAGCTGCACATTCTCAGCTGCAAAATGTTAAATATACTAGTAGTTTCCATATGACCCAGCAATTCCACTGGTAGATAGCTACCTAAAAGAAATGAAAACGTATGTCCATACAAAAGCTTGTGCACCAGTGTTCACAGCAATATTCAGAATAGCAGAAAGTAGAAACAACCCAAATGTTCATCAACAGATGAATGGATAAACAGAATGTGCTATATCCATGCATTGGAAGATTATTAATAAAAATTTTTTTAATTAAAAATTATCCATGAAAAAGAATGAAGTACTGATACATGCCACAACATGGATGAACCTTGAAATGATTTTGCTAAGTAAAATATATGATTCCATTTTTATGAACTGTCCAGAACAGGCAAATCTACAGAGACAGAAACTAGGAGTGGGGGTGGGGGAGGTTGAGAAGGGAAGTAGTAATGGTCACAAGATTTGGGGGTAATGAAACTGTTCTAAAAGTAGATTATAGTTATGGTGATGGTTGCACAACTCTAAATATACTAAAAAATATGTTAAAAACCCATCAAACTATATATAGGTGAATTTTATGGTATATAAATTATATCTCAATAAAGTTGTTAGAAACACACAAATACACAATGGTCAATCTTAGGCATTAAAAAAAAATCTTGCCCTAACTGGTTTGGCTCAGTGGATAGAGCATCGGCCTGCGGACTGAAAGGTCCCAGTTTCGATTCTGGTCAAGGGCATGTACCTTGGTTGCGGGCACATCCCCAGTAGGAGGTGTGCAGGAGGCAGCCGATCGATGTTTCTCTCTCATTGATGTTTCTAACTCTATCCTTCTCCCTTCCTCTCTATAAAAAAATCAATAAAATATACTTTTAAAAAATCTTGAGGTTCCACTCCTCTCTCTTTTTATTATTTTTTGCTTTACATGGGTTATTTCATTCACACTGCTCTGGATTCTGTGTTTTTTCATGGTTTTTTTTTGGCTATTCTTTCTCAACAGTACATTTGGGTCACTTCACTCTTTTTGCCTGATAGTCCATTGCATGGATAGTCTGCACTTTATATAACTAGCTTTGCATGTTGCAAACTGAGGTTGTTTTCATTCTTGCACTACAAATACTGATGCCTTCGTGCCAACTTACATGTCCTTCAGTGACATATGGGATAGCATTTCCCCACATTCTCAGTTGCAAAGAATCTTATGCTTTTAAAATATATTTTTAAAAAATAAAATATATATATTTATTGACTTGAGAGAGCAAGAGAGAGACAGAGACGTCGATTTGTTGTTCCACTTATTCATGCATTCACTGGTTGATTCTTGTATGTGACCTGACTGGGAACTGAATCCACAGCCTTGGTGTATCCAGACGATGCTCTAACCAGTCAGGGCAACATTTATGCTTTTTAATCACTGCCAATCTAATGGGTGAAAACAATTTTATTTGTATTTTTTAAATGACTTAAGTAGAGCCATTTAAAAAATATTTTGTTAGGCTTTCGTAATTTCTTTATGTTCATTCCTTTGTCCATTTTAATACGAATTCTCTTATTGCTATAGTTTTTACATAATAAGGCCATCAGACCTTGGTCATATGTTTCAACTATTTTTCTTGTCTTTCGACTTCGGTATTTTTTGCCAAGCGGGTATTTTACATTTGCGTGTAGTCTCTTTTTCTCCCCTTGGCTTCTAACTTCTAATTCTGCTACTTTCTGGGTGGGTCACTTGGTCTCTCTGAGCCAGTTTCCTGCGTTGTATATGGACGGAGTGATGATGTTGATGATGCAGGTTTGAGGAGCATGTGCGGATCTGAGCGCGCGGGGCTGAGGGGTTCACGCCGAGCAGCGGGAAGCGGTTCTCGGGATCCCGGTCCGCGGCCGCCCCCTACCTCCTGAGCGGGCGGCCACAGGAAGTGCGCGGCCTTGGCTTCAACTTCGCGCTCCTCCGACCCACGTGAGTGGCTCCGCCTTACCTCGCTTCCGACCAATGGACGAGTTTCATAAGGCGTAGGGTCCCGCCTTCCAGCCTCCTGGCCAACAGGCGAGCTCCGTCTTGCTCGGAGTCCCGCCCCTCGTGGATGGGAGCAATAGGCGCCCTCAG